CACTCGAGGGTGTTTCCGTTTCCGGTCCCGGCTCTGAACTCCTCCGCGATATCCGTGATGCCCTCTCCGGTGAGCCTGACCTGGAGGAGCCCGTCGCACTAGCGGCCCGGCAACTTCTTAAGGTTCAAGGTCAAGCTCGAGGCCCCCGCTCTTTGCGGTCTGACGAGTGGGCCGTCTCCGGCGGTCTTCTCCATTTCCGAGGGAAGATCGTTGTACCAAAGGACAAGGACCTCCGGAGACGCATCATCGAGCTCTGCCATGACACCCGAGTCGCCGGACACGCAGGTCATTTCAAGACCCTGGAGTTGGTCTCCCGGAACTACTGGTGGCCTCAGATGTCTCGCCATATCGCCCGGTATGTTGCGACCTGTGACTTGTGCTGTCGCACCAAGGCACTCCGGAGACTGCCCCACGGAGAGCTGCACCCCACGGAAACGCCCCTGGAACGCTGGCATACCATCTCCGTCGACTTCATCGTAGAGCTTCCCGAAGCCCATGGGTACGACACGATCATGGTCGTCGTTGAGCCATAGGCGTTATATTTTTACAAATGCAACTAGCTGCAGCTAGCATAACAGTTGTCAAATACACTGAGCAGGGCTTTTTGTCACATATGTCACATTCCTTTCAAGGCTTATTCTATTTATTTAAGACTATTATTATGGTAATTGATGATGGAACTGATGGCATCTATATAATGTCATCAATGTGGAAACATTTTTGATTGCCATCACAAGTTTTGATGATTGTAACCAGCTACATCATTTCTGTCCAAATTGGGATTATTAATTATTTTCTATATATATAGTCTTCCAAATTATATAACGGGTCTTCGGCCTGAAGAAAAGGAACTTAACATTTATTTATTAAGTGTAATAATTATTAATACTGATGTTATATCAAAGTTTGATCAGTCTTATAGGGGAACAGAAGACAAATGCACTAACTGGACTCAGGCCTCAGTGGAGCTAGTGGATTTGACACCAGGTTGACTCAGTGCACTCAGTGCAGTTGTCAAATGTGCACAACTACAGGTGCGTCGTTGACACCCTCAGAAAGCGCGCCCACTTCTCGGAGTGTCATACGACGGTCGATGCAGTAGGGGCAGCCCGCCTCTACTACCAGAACGTCTGGCGGCACCATGGGACTCTGGAGAAGTACGTCTCCGACCGTGGCTCGCAGTTCATCGCGGACTTCACCCGAGAACTCTGGCGCCTAATCGGCATCAAGCCTGCCACCGCGTACCACCCACAGACAGACAGTCAGACAGAGCGCGTCAACCAGGAGTTGGAGCAGTACTTGCGGATCTTCACCAACTATCAGCAGGACGACTGGGATGAGCTGATTCCGGCCGCGGAGTTCGCTTACAACAACCATGTTCACTCCTCCACGCAGCAGGTCCCCTTCATGACGGACACGGGAAGGCTCCCGCACATGGGCTTCGAACCCGGAGTCTGTTCCACCATGGAGTCGGTGAATGAGTTCCGCGACCGGATTGCCACTGGTGTTGCTGAAGCCAAGGCTGCGCTCACAAAGGCCAAAGAGGAGTACAAGCACTACTACGACCGGAGACGCACTCCGTCTCCGGAGTTTCAGGTTGGCGACCGTGTTTGGCTGGATGCCTCTGACATCAGGACGACTTGTCCCTCGGAAAAGTTCTCCCATCGCCGCCTCGGACCGTTCAAGATAGTCGCGGAGATCAGCAACGGTGCCTACAAGCTCGACCTCCCTCCGCGCTACTCGAAACTCCACCCGGTCTTCCTTGTCGTCAAGCTCGAGCTCGCCCAGGACGACCCCTTCGACGGACGCCCCGGCTACGACCAGCCCCCTCCGGACCTCGAGGACGGAGTCCCGGAGTGGGAAGTAGAGGAAATCTTGGACGCAAGGGTGAGGTATAAATGGCTGAACTACTTCGTCAGATGGAAAGGCTACGACACATCGCACGACCAGTGGGTCCGCTTCAACCGCGTCTCCGCCCTGGAGAAAATTGCGGAGTTCTATCGTAAGTACCCTGGCAAGCCACGACCCATCGCCTCCGCGACCTTCGACTCGATTTCGTTCCCGTCTATGCGTCGAGACGCCGCATTCAAAGGGGGGGGTGATGTCAGGGGAACCTCCCTTTTGGCCCGGAGACCCGCCCGACTCCAGTCCGATTCTGGTTCCGACTCCGGTCCAGCCCTCCATCTCGCCCGCACAATCACCGATCCGTCAACGCCCTCCCGACGGTCACCCTGGGACCTCGCCTGCGACGCCGCCCAAGCCTTCTGTGCCCGACAGCGGCAGCTACGGACAAGCAGTATATAGTCAGCTACCTAGCAGGCGGACCCTCAGAGTTTCTTCTCTTTGGATCCTCCCCTGCTAGGTCAGCTTCATTTGTATTCGCTTAACCAATGTTCACGCTTTGGATCCTCCCCTGCTAGGACCTTGATCTCAGGCCTCCGGGGTTGCCCTTACACGCGCCCCAAACCTGCAACATCGATGACCATCCTTCCGGGCGCGAACCGGTCAAGATGGCCACCTCCTTTCCCTTCCAAGACTGTTGCTTGTCTGCCTTTGCACACGCTACCGTTCGCACGGCCAATATCACCGTCGTGGATCCTATCATATACCGGCTCAACAAAGAAGACAGTTTGGGTCAGACGGATAATGAACGAGGATTTCGAAGCTTCGCCTTGATCGTCTCTAAGAGTAAGAAGAGAAGGAAGGGGTAGCGGCCGAGGGAGAAGACGAGCGTGAAAACGAGTCAGAAAGTTACACTGAGAAAGACGTTGAAAGCAAAATCAAGAACGAAGTTCAGGATGATGACCCCATCGACCCAGGGGCCGAGGCGGAGACTGCCGCAATCTTTCACAGTTTGTTGTTGAGCCAACCTTCCGACCAGCTTCCTATTGTCAAGTTTACCTATGACCTCTCTCACGTCAAAGAGATTCACAATCCTTGCAAATTCTGGCAGGAGGTGGAGAAAATCGCCGAGTAAGCCATGATTTCAGTGACCACATATCTCTCTGTCTAACGTGAATCTTAGGATTGTTGAAGCGTCTAAGGGGTGGAAAGAAGCAAAGAAGACTGATGTAGCTGAGAAGGATACAGCGCGGTATGATAGCCGAATGGGTATGTCAACTTCCTTGTTCTCCTCGGCTTGTAGAGCTCACTGGTCCCAGCCGAACTGCTGCAAGGTCACAAAGCCAGTGATTGCCCTAGGGTCCCTATTTTGGGGTCCCCAAATTATTAGGGCCTCATAGGGCCTAAGGCCTTAACTTATAGGGCCCCTACATAAGGCTATTACCAAAAAAGGAAATTATTTAATAATCAAATTATGCAATATAATCACCATCGTAAATGGCTCCATCATCAAGTTATGTGTCACAAACAAAGCTGGATCAGATGATGGGCCAACTTAATGGATGATCAAATGATCTAACTTTGTAGTGGTTGATGATGAGATCAAGTTGTATTGATAGGTATGATACAACCGGATGACTATTTCCCAGAAGGTAGGAGGGAAAAGAGAATAAAAGCGCTAGGGGCAGAAGGCCACCAGTGTCCTACTTATATACTAATTCCAGGCTGACTAATACTGACTCACTCTGACTCATACCGACTCACCCTGACTCACGTCATGACTCACTCTGACTCGGATTGATATGACTCAGTCTGAGTCATTAATGGATTGGATTGATGGATAATATCATCTAACCAAATATGGTAAGGCTGTGCTAGCCTTCGTTTGGGGTTGGTTGGTGTGAGGTGGTAGAGGTTGATGTTGATGATATCATCAGAAATTGATAATGGGATCAAATGGGTTGCTGTCATCAGTGATCAGCCTAGAAAGTGTAACATTATGTATCTTTTGTGGCATCTGCAAGATCATGTAGATACTTAGCCTCTGCTTGCATGTCGGTTACTTTACAGTAGTTGTGGTAATGTGATGTGTTTGCCTTGAGAAGGATTTTACCAATCTCAGAGATTGGCCGTGTGGGCAGTGTGAAGAAGAAGACTGATAAAAATTTCATTGACAGATGATCATGACACATATGATCCAATCAATAGGGCCTATTAAGGCCCTCTAACTAGTTTCTGTTCTCTGGATAGGGCCCTGAGGGCCTATTTTTCATAGGACCCTCAGGCCCTCGGGCAATCACTGCACAAAGCCTCAAAAGCGACAGGTCTCCGCATACCACGGGTCGTAACTCGGAGTGTTGCTCGTGCCAAATCGCTGTTGTGTCGTATACTCTGCCTGTCTCCCGACTTGCACGTTGCATAACAGAGATACACACCACATCGCTGTGTCGTTGCTTTCTATTATATTTTGTAGAACACCTCGTATTTCAAATCTTCCAAGTTAATGAAGAAGATTCAGAACTAGTGAGCAAGCCGTCTTTTTGTTGCCTTGAGAGTTGCGATGGCCTCAGCAGTCGTGTTTGCTTACAGGCAAACTTGAACGAGTTACCTCAAAGACTCTGAGCAGGCACCAATCAGCACCAATCGTCTCTTCATGTAAGCCAGCTTCGCTGTTGAGGGGACTAGTTAGGTACTCTTTATGAGCAGAACAAGTAGTAAGAGTTGTACGGTGCCAGCCATCGAGTGGTCTCTAATTCAAGGAGTTCTTCGCATTATCACCGTGACAAATGCTGCAACGAGCTTGCAGCAGCACAAGATGTCTTGCGTAGGGAGGCTGATTTTCTGACGGTTTCGTTGGACTGTCTTCCCGGAGGATCTTGTTTAATTACTGGCAGGTATCATAGAGGAGTACTTATTGCGGGATAGTCCAAGTAGTTAGCAGGAAGCAAGTAAGTATGGAATGGATGTGACGTCACCGACGTTCTTCAACGTTCAACGTTCAGCATCCCATGGGCCATAAACCATCGACGTGGCTTACACGTAGAGAAAGCTCAAGCGGACACTACATGACTCGCTCCCGACCATCATGGATCGCCACAGACATATAATATCAACCACACAGCCTTGACGATTCTCTTCGTTGAGCACATTCTCTTACCATGTTCACCAAGATACTGTCTCACTTTGTAAGTAATCCTTTCTCCCGCTTATACCCCTCCTCACGACGGCACGCCAGCTGCCCTCAACCTCCAAGACTAACTACGTCTCCGCTGGTCATGTCGATTTTGTCGGTGCTGGATTGGCAGAGTACAACGACCACTACGCCGTCGTTTTCGACTCGCTGTTCACCGAAGCTGAGCTCACAGCAATACTCGCCGAGGCAGAGGCCTCTGCGCCATGGGACGTTGCTCAAGTCAACGCAGGGGCCCACGCTTACACTGACACCTCCTACCGCAACGGGCAGCGCATCATCTACGACTCGCACGAGCTCTCCCAGCGCATATTCGATAAAATTCGGCCACATCTGCAGGACATCGAGGAAATCGAGCAGCCAACGTACCTTCCCGGGCCCGAAGCGGGCCGTCCAGAAATGGCGCATGGTCCGGCTGAACGAGCGGCTGCGCTTCCTGCGGTACCCACTCGGCGGGTTCTTCCGGGCTCATGTTGATGGCCGCTATGATGACCAGGAGACCGGCCAGCGGACGTTCTACACCCTCCAGTTCTACCTTCCCTCTGACGCCTCTGGTTCAAAGGAGAGCTTCCAGCCCCCGATAGGCGGGTCAACGCGGTTCCGCGGCCGGATAGCGGAGAAGGCATTTGCCGACGTGGAAAGCATTCCTGGACGGGTATTGGTATTCCAACACGCAAACTTGTTGCACACGGGAGAAGAGGTCAGCGGCGCTGTTCTCTCTTTCGTACCCAATTTAATGCCTTTTACAGGTAACCAGCGGTATAAAGTGCACCGTTCGCTCCGATATTCTTTACGAGCGCGTTGGAGAGCCTGTACCTATTGAAGAGTCATAATATGTACCACCAATTCCTCTCTCTTCTAGTGTGCACGCGACTTCCGAAAGGCAGTCAAGATCACAAAGTAAGCTCGGGGTTTGTTATCGCAGATTATGTAGCAAGGACCGCAATCTCCCGACCCACAAGCCCCTTCCGCGTGTTGTCATCCTTTTGCCCTCTGCCTCTATCTCTCCTTACTGACACGCCCAAAGCCCCCATGTCTCTGGGATTCGCCGGTTGTTCTAGCTAATCGACCAATAGCGAACCTGGCCAAGGTCTATTTCAGTTCCCCATTTCGAAGCTCTGTATTCCATCCTTCCCTGTTCCCATTGCGTCAACACAAGCAGTCACCGGATACCCTGGAGCCCCATCGAGAGTTTCCCCCATCGATACTTGTCCTGTTCCTTATCCGACTACTTAGCTCCATGCAGCAAAACGAGAAGAAGAGAAAAATGCATTCGATAAACTACGAGAGCAATGCGACAGTTGCAGTACGTGCGTTCGGCTAAAGGCTACAGTGAACATCACCAATTGGTGGCTCTACAGGTGGTATCGGTATCGTATCGTATCGTAAAAACAGAACGAGAGAGAGATGGAGGTATAAACATATCGTTGACATGCTCGTGAGTGGATTCGTTAGTGGAGTGCAGCCGGTCATCATCCAAGACAAGAAAAAAAAGGATCCAAGAAATGAAGTCGAAAGCGAAAGCGAAAAGGAGAGTGTTTTGTGGTTGTCGTTTGGTCTTGTGTTTTTTACCTGCGCCGCAGGTCCTGTGTCGCCCCCATCACAAACTCGGCAAACTCGTCCTCCGTCAATTCAGGCTCGCCGCTGACGCTCGCCGCTTTGCCTTTGCCCTTGCCCTTCGCCCTGCCTTGGGTCTTGTTACCCCTTCCATCGAGGATGGCCAGCGAGCTCTCTTCTTCTGCCGCCGCCGCCATCATCTCGAGATCGGCCACCTGCTGTGGCCCCCCCGCAATTGGCTTGGGCTCGAAAATATACCGCGAGTCGTGTGGTAGCACATCCTGCTCTGATGACTCATCGTCCGACACCTCCTCCACCGTCGCCTTCTTCTTGCCCTTTCCTTGTGATTGGGCTTTTGGTGGCGCAGCTGACGAGGGTTGCCGTGAAGACACTTTGCTGGGCGGCTGTGTTGCAGGTTTGTCGGCCGGCTTTCCGGAGGCTTTCAGTGTTTTGGCCGCGGCAGCACTAGCGCTGCTGGATGACCAAACTTCCTTGCCTGAAGGAACGGGTGGTGGCGGGGCCATCCCCATGCCCATGCCCATACCGGAACTGCCGAGCGACTTGTGCAGCAGCGGACGGTGCATTTGTTCCAGTGTCGTCCGTGACGAGCTCGCGCCAGGTGTTTCAATTTCAACGGGAGCGGTCCGCGAAGTCGCGGTTGTGACCGGAGGAGAAGCGAGGCTGGTTTTGGACGCGGAGGCAGATGACGACGTTGAAGAAGCGGATTTTGACGAGGGCAAACTCGACGATGTGGTCGAAACAGCCGTCTTGGGAGGCGCCTGCTTGGACGCAACGCCTTGCTGGGCCTGCTTCGATGCCGACGAAATCACAGCCGGCTTGCTTGCCTGAGCGAGTTTGGCTGATTCGGCGGCGGCTTTCGACGCAGACGACATCGGTTTTACAGCACCAACAGTCGCTGGAGTGGACAGTTTAGCCACAACTGGTGCCGATTTTGCCGAAGCGAAAGTTGGTTTCGCAGGGCTGATTTTCGGTGGCTCGGGAAGAGTCGAAACGGACGTCTTGATGGTCTGCGCCTGTTGCGAGGCCTTCGAAACACCGGACGCTTGTGGGAGTACGGTGGGCGAAACCTGGTCAAATCAGGGTCAGAAAACAAGTGTTTGGGCTAAAAGCACAACTAACCGTGTCCAGTTTACCCGAGATCTGAGAGGTCTTTGAAATTGTCGCGGGAACAGCGCTGCCCGACTTTGCTGACTTCATTGTTGACGAAGCTCCTGTGGGTAGTGCCAAACTCGACTTGCCCGTAACTGAGACGCTTGCAGCACGTGTTCTTGGCCGAGGTGTCTCAGGTGGAATTTCCACTTGTTGTTTTTGCGCTTCTGGGGTCGGGGTGCTAGTGTCCGCGTTCAAAGCAGCCAATGCCGCCATCGCGGCGGCCCGTCCGGGCCGGAGGGTCGCCTGCGACTCCAGCTTTTTTGTTTGTGGTTGGAGGGCACCATCACGTTGGATCGCCGCCAAGATTGCTTGTTGTTCCTCGACAAGAGCATTCTGCTTGAACATCGTCACCGGACTCGCATTCATCGTCCCCCGCATCAGCTTTCGTGTAACTCGCTCCTCGTCGACGGCACGCAAATATTCCTCGTTGGCGAACCTGTTGATATTTTCCGTCGACTTCTTCCACTCAGCAACACATTCATCCTTGGCGCGTTGGTAAGCTGCCGAAGATTGTGGATGACGAATTGCTGCCAGGGCCGCTTCAAACTGAACACGCGCCGCGTCGACCATGGAGGCGAATCCTTGCGCAATTTTCGCTTGTCTGGTCCGTTTCCATTCATCAGACGGCTCCGAATCGTAGTCGAAATTGTCGACTAGGGACGGAAGCTTCTTGGCCACCACCGGCGTTGCTGGGATCGCCGAATCAGAGGGCACCCATAATTGGGGCTGGGGCTGTGGATCAGGACGGTAGGACGTGGCGGAAATTGATGACGCCACCGAAAGTGGGCGAGATGATAAAGAAGGGGCAGTGGATGCAACCGACATTGGGCGTGAAGAAGTCGACGGAGAGTCAGAACTACCGAAATCGAAACCGCCCGGCATGAGTGGATCAAGTTCCGCATTCTTGGGAGGAGAGCTGGCGGTCTTGACAGACCGTTTCGATGAGTCGGTCGCATCAGAGAGAGTGGTGGCGTTACTAGAACGCCTAGGTTTGCGTTTAGCGGCCTCCATTCGCTCTTTCTCGGCCAGCGCCTTTTCCGCGCGCAATTTGTCTTCGCGCTCTTTTTCCTCCTGTTTAGCCTTCTCAGCCTTGAGACGGGCTTCGACTTCACCCTCTAATCGCTCCCGCAAGCTCTCGGCCTGCGCCTGCGCCTGGACTTGAGCTTGTTGTTGTGTCTTGGTTAGTTTTTTGTTGTTCTTTTTCCCGGCTGCGGCTGTCTGTACAGGTGTTGCTGGTATTGGCGCTGGTTTGGCCTTGGCCTTCTCCTCCTTTGCCCTTGCCTCCTCTTCTCTTTTCTTTAATTCCTCCTCCCTCTTGCGAACCTCAGCTTCTCTCCTCCTTAAATCATCTTCATCTTTCTTTCGCGACTCCTCGACCTTCTTTCTAACCTCCTCCTCTAGCTTCTGTGCTCTCTCTCTCTCTGAATGCTCCTTCAGCACTGCTCGGCGTCTTGCTCGTTCGACCTTGACAAGCTCTTTCCGCTCCTCCTCCTTGGCCCGGCGCAAAGCATACATCTTCCCCTCATGCTCGGCAATTCTCCGCCCTTCTTCTTCTTTTTCATGTGCTGCGCCAGATCGCAGTCCATAGAGGGTCTCGGCAAGCTGCACATCCAACTCTGCGGCCTCTATATGAAATTCACGAATCTTCGCAGCGCGAGTGGCCATTTTGAACCGCTCAAAATCCGCTTCGGCCTCGGCTTCCGACATCGATAATAGGGTCAGGGGAGCAGCGTTGTCGCTAGATGAGGCAGGAGCTTTATCTTTGCCGCGGCCTTTGCCATTCACAGGCTTGGTTGTTATAGCTGGCGCATGATAGAACGCCTCGTCGTCGGTCTCTGAGTCCGATCCAACAAGCTCTGGGCCAATGTAGCGTGGGCCGGCACTGCCACTACCACCAGCTCTGCTTGTACCCGTGGATGTCGGGGCAGGAGGTCGACGAGAGTGTGGCGGTGCATCAAACAAGGGCATAGGTTTGGAGATTTGCTCCGGCGAGCCAGACTGGGATGGTTCTCGAGAGGATTGCAGACTGGTCGCCGCTGAGACTGACCAGATTCCGTATGGGGATGGAGAGGGTGATGGCGAAGACCATGCGGAGGCAGAAGAGGGTGAACGAGCTGATTCGAAGACTGATGCGACCGAGGAGGCGAGAGAGTGGGTTTGCGAGGCAGGCACGCGTGGGCGCGAACGGTCGATCTAAAACAGACACGAGTTGATCAGAAACAGACAACAACAACGGAAAAAAGTTGGGGAAAAAAGGACGCGTCACCCACCGTGTCAAGAGCGGAGATTGACTCGAAGCCATGCTCCTCGATTTCATCGTCGAGGACAAGCGATAGGGGGCTGACAAACGAATACTCCGACGATGACGCAGAAAGACTGGGGGGCGGCTCGATGTATGGAACCATTGAGGTCGTTGGCTCTGGCGGAAGCGAAACTCCATCTCCAAAGCACTCGTTCGACTGCCCCACGTTCTCGTTCACTCATCTGCCCCCAGTCTTCGTCTGACAACTTGGCGGTTTCCATTCGTTTAGCCCATTCTTCGCGGACAAGCGCAATCATCTCGTTTTCAAGCTCTCGCCGTAGTTTGACTTTCTTGCGCTCGTGCTCCTCCTTGCTGGGCCGTGATGCTGGCCGGGCAGTCATGTATTGGGAGTCAAACTCCTTGAATTTGGTTTGGATGTTGTTTTCGACAGCGGCGCGAGGGACATTGGCGACCCACTGCTCGAACTCTCGCCAGAGTGCGCGAACCCGCGTCGAAGCGTTCATATCGGTCGCGGTAGAGCGGGACGAGGAGGAGGGCAGTGGGACGTTGGAGGTGAAAAAAGACATCTGGGGCAACAGCCGTGAGCGGTTTTATTACAATGGCATGACTCGATGACTGTACCATTTTCGTCTGTGCTGTTTTCGTTGTTCTTTCACTTTTTGGGGTGGGATGGGAAAAAAAGACGGCCTCGTGGTGAGCTGGGTGGCAGACTAGTGCCTACGAGGCCAAGTTATCGGAGTTGATTTCCTCGGTCGTCGCTCGATCTGCTTGGTTCTGTTGGAGCTTCGCGGGTTGTGGGTGAGCGACGGTGGTGGTGGAGTGAAAGCAAGAAAAAAAAATATGGGCATGGGCAAGGGTAAAGGGGATCAATCTCGCGTGTTACGCCATTATGTCAGCGGAAGCGGGGGCGAAAACACGAGGTTGCTCCGCATCTTTGGCCTGCCCTCTGCCCTATCGCGCGCAACTATGCTATAGACGGCGTGCTCTCACTTGGTTCTATGAATCCGCAGCGTTAGTAGCCCTGTTGGGCCATCTGAGACAAATTGAACCTCCTATGAGCTCGGCCATGAAGTGATTATTACAATATGCCAGCCGCCCGCCTCCATCATGCCTCGAGTTGCGATCGAGTCAATTTGTGCATGTTCGCGCGTACGTGAGAGTCTCGGCGACATACCAGCTGTTGCAAGAGGGCTGTGGGTTTGGAGTCGAGTGGATTCATTATAGATATCGGGAACACTGCACATCTGTCATTTGCCACTCTGTGTTTATTTTTTCTGCACCTCTCCTCCCGCCACATCGGCGGTGGATGCGCCCAAACAAACAGCCATGGGCAAAAGCGCGCCTCGTGCCTCGCCAGAAGCCCACATCTCTTGATCTTCCAATCTACACCAGCCGAGATTACCGAATCATGCGTGATCCGTGACACGCGCCTTGTCACGCCGACCTCACCTGGTCTGCATCGTGGCCCTCCCGTCGTTAACTGACCTGAGTGCTCGCTCCGTTGTCGTGTGTGGTCCGCTTTTCCTCAAATATCTGTCCGTTTATCGAATGCAGCAGGAATGCAGTGGTGTTTATGACCCGCTACACGAATTCGACAACGAAATAAGCACACAACAACTAAACGCCGCCCGCCACATATTAACCTTACTACAAGTGCTACCACCGTCGCTCCCTTCCATCCAGTGCACCGGCCATGTCCTCTCCAACGATATCGTCGTCACCCACTGTCTCATATCATGCAATGCCGGCCCATCTTGCGCCAACGCCTGAAGATGAACCTTCGGACGAGTGGAAAGAGCAGAAAGAAGCCGAAATTGGGCTCGGATTCACCTCCATGGTTGACGAGGCTCGCGCCAGATTGGAATCTTCTCTCGAGACGATCCCTTATGCACGGAATACGGACGAGTTTGAGCAGGCGAAACAGGCACATATTGCTGCGTGGCGCACTGAGACAGCCAACATCCGTAGTCTCGCCAACGAAGAGTTTTTACACGCGCTTGGCCAGGAAAGAATTATGCGTCGGATGACCAGGGGTGGTCAAGTCAACCCCGTCGTTCAGAATGCATTGGTTGAAGAGCAGGCTGCGATCTATGCCGCGATTCAACGAAGGAGAGACTCTACTGCTGCCTCCGGCGATGGCCACCCAAATCCGGGCCCGAATCCTAGTCCTGTTCCAGCCCCATCGACGTCACCATCGGTGCCATGGACCGGTGAATCTTCAGCTTCTAAATCAGCACAGGCCTACCTCCAAGCACGCGCTCAAGCAGCTTCTTCGACTTCAACCTCTCAGCAGCAACAACAACCACACTTTGTTTCCGCCTCGGAATCCATAAATCGTAACAACGTTTCCAGATCGCCAGTCTCATCTCATCCTCCTCCCAATCCCAGCCCCAATCCTTCCCTCGGTCGCTCTCCATCAACAAGACGGACAGTTTCCATTCCTCCGTCCCCTTCTCCTTCTACATCGCCTGTATCTTCCCGTCAACAGCTTCCTCAACAACAACAACCTCCAGTAGACTCTCACTCCCGTCCTGCGCACCTTGGTCGAAATGGTTCCTTCTCTCGGCAACCCACCGGTTCCAATTGGACTCCAAACTCTCAGACTACGTCCAATACTTGGAAGGAGGCCACTAAAGATAATTCTTCGTCATCAACAACCAACATGGACCCCCTCGCGCAATATAACTACCACCTCAAGCAGACACCTCCCCTCCAGCCTAAACGATCAAGTGTCACGGCTTCGCCAGCCGCACACGCATCGTCGAGCAACACTACTCCTCTTACTCGCAGACCCACTATTGACGAACCGCCATTGCGCTCCCAACCGTCTCAAACCTCTCTTCGTAGCGATCGCGAGCAGTATCAGTCGCACCCACAACCACCACCACTCCGAAATAAACTTTCACAGACGAGTTTTCGCTCCGCCTCGTCTGGCGGGGGCGGCAGTGCTCCATCGATAAGCTCTCGGAGACCCCCATCTACCGCTGATCCCTGGGTCTCGGACCTTTACACTTCCACGTTGACGGATGAATTAGAAGATGAAGAGTTGTCCATTCTGCAGCCTCCGCAGAGTCACGGCCATAATCGTGGTGTTCCGATTCCTGGGTCCGGGTCATCGGGAAGGAGGAGAGACAGCGAGAGTCGGTTTTCGGGGTCTGTTTGTGCGTGTATTATTCAATTTCATTTGAATGTATACTAACCGTTTGTTTTTTGTTTGGATAGCGTCCTCTCCAAGTACCACCCGTATCAACACACAAGTCCCACAACCGCCTCAGCGATGGACACCGTCGGTGTCGCCTGAAGAAGATCGTGATTATCAGCGGCATTTGCGGCAGGAGCGTGACCTTGCGAGAGAGAAAGAGAGGGAGGCTGCACGAATTGCCAAGGAGAAGGAGGATAGGGAGGCAGCTGAGCGGGAGCGGTTGGCGCGGGAAAAGGAGAACGAGGAACGGCTTGCGAAAGAAAAAGAGCAGGCGCGATTGGCACGGGAAAAGGAGGTGATGCGGGCGAGAGAGCGTGAAATCGCGAAAGAAAGTGAGGCCAGACTTGCAAAGGAGAAAGAGGAGGCGAGGCAGGAGAGAGAGCGGCAGGTCAGGCTGGCACGGGAGCGGGAAATTGCCCAGGAGAGCGAGGCGAGACTTGCAAGAGAGAACGAAGCGAGACTTAAGAGGCAAAATGAACTCAGGCTTGCTAAGGAGAGAGAGGCGAAACTTATCAAAGAGAGGGAGGCGCGACTCGCTAAGGAAAACGAGGAAAGACTTGCTCGAGAGGAGAACGAGGCGCGGTTAGCGAAGGAGAATGAAGCTCGGTTGGCCAAGGAGAACGAAGCCAAAGCTGCTGCTGCGCAGAAAGCAGCAACCGAGTCTAAACCTACCAAACGCAAGGGCAAGAAGCCAGTTCCCCCTCCCGCGCCGGACCCAGCGAGTGATGATGGAGATGATGAGTCGCGTCGTCCAAACATCCCGGTTCCTGCTCCCCCTCCCCCGCCACCTCCTCCTGTTATTGTCGAAGAAATTCCCGTCAAGATGTCTCCGCCACAGATCTCGCCACAGCCGACAACACCTGTCAAAGCCAAGGGTAAAGGCAAGAAGGCAAACAAGAAAGCTGCTGCCAATGCGAGCAAAATCACTGAAGAGTTTTTCCCTGCGCTGACTCCGAAGAAACCTGTGCCCAAGGCCACGTCTGCTGAAGAGCAGGAGGAGGATTTGGCCGTCAAAGCCAAGCTTGAGCAGGAAACACGTGCTAGAGAGGAGAACGAACATCAGTGGGATGGTCTTGATCGTCAACGGGAGAAAGAAAAGGAGAAGCAGGATAGTTGGGGGCGTGCAGCCGGTACCAGCGCCGCAGCCGCGACTTCTGCAAGCCAGCAAGCACAGACCCAAACTACGAAACCACGGCGTCAACAAGAAAACGTCACTTCTAATCACGCTGACGTAAACCATCCCCCTCGCTGGGCATTTTATGGCAGTTCGCGACCGCCAGTCAAGGAGGCGTCGTCTTCTTCCTCCAGCGATGATGGCCGCGACGAGCATTCCTCTCCCTCTCGTTCGGCAGAATGGCCCTCAAATCCTACATCCCCTGATATGCACCCGTACCACGAAGGCCACTCTAATTTCAAGACTGCTCCGATATCGATTCCGCAACGAACACGAACCCCCGATGGCGATGGGGAGCTCGGGTCTGGTGGCTTCAGCGCCGGTGACTTTTCGCGGTATGGTGTGCCCCTCCATGGGAGTGCCGGGGCCAGTTACAACGAGTCATTCCCTATGTCAGGGTCGTACCAGGACTATGCTGCAGTAGAGCGGGAAAGAGAACGGGTTCTCCAGTTGGAGGAAGAGGCGCGGAAGAAGGTAGAAGAGGCGAAAGCCAAGGAGGAGGCTGCGAAGCAAAGAGAGCAAGAGTCGAGGCAAAGGGAGGCAGAGGCGAGGCAGATTGCTGAGGAGGCGAGGCAGAAAGAGGCTGCGGCACGTGAAACGGAAGAAAAGATCCGTTTACAGGAGGAGGAGGCCAATCGGAGGTTGGAGGAGGCCAACAGGAAATTGAAAGAGTTGGAGGAGAAGGAGGCTGAGATGAGGAGGCGCGAGGAGGAAATCCACAAGAAAGAGGAGGAAACGAAATTGAAGGAGGCAATGGAAAAGGAGATGGCTGAGCGATTGCGCAAATCGAGGTTGGAAGAAGAGCGGGAGAAAGAGGCGAAATTGCACCAACGCGAAGCTGAACTTAGAAGAAAGGAGGAAGAGGCAGAGAAATTGCGGCAAGCCAGGCTAAGGGAGGACGATGAGAGAGGCAGAATAGAGGCTGAGCGGTTAAGGCAGTTCCAATTTCGTGAAGCAGAGATCAAACGACGGACAGAGGAACGCAAAAGGCAGTCGAGCTTTCCGCCAGACGCTGATTGGACAACATGGGGTTCTTCTACTCAATGGTCAACACCAGCGAGCCCTTCGCCATCTAATGCCACAAACTCCTCCACTCGCAGCAATACGACGCCTGGAGCCTCCGGTTGGTCCAGCACTTCTCGCACCAACTCGACTGCCAGTCAAGCATCTTCAAATAACACCGCACGAGCATCTTCTTCGACAGCAACTCCGAATTCCAAGCCATCGTGGAACTCTGCTTCCTCTAACGCAACCCCAAATAACAGCAAACCGACTCCTATTCCTGGTGCAGACAATCGGGATCGCGCAAGGCGTCAACAAGAAGCTGCTGAAGAGCAATTTCGACGAATGCAAGAGCAGATGGAGCGAGAGCGGCTTGCCAAAGAACAGAAGGCGGGGCGGATCCTAAGCAAAGAGGACGTTATCCGGATATACCAACAGCACGAGCAGCAATGGGCCAAGATAACATCCCTGTCAGAGGTCTCGTGGGAAATGCTTCCCTGGCCAGTGTACCGGCACCCCAACAGCGCTGAGGATATCACATCCGGCGCGGTCGACGCTTACATCATGTCTCCACATCATCCAGACGCGGACAAGTCGACCAAGGACCGCATTAGGAAGCTGTTGCGCAAATGGCACGAAGACCATTTCAACCAGAAGGTCCTGTCAAAGGTTGCTGAGAGCGACAAAGAGCGGGTCAAGGCTGCAGCAGGCACAGTGACGCGGAATCTTAATAGTCTCTTGGAGCGGACGAACGAGTCGTACAAGGCCACTGCTGCGAGTCTTTTTGCATAATCTGTCTGTTTTTCATTTTTCCCGAAGGCTGATAGTACGTGGATCTAATCCTTGCTTTTCGTGGATGTTGAATCTTGCGCAGCTCTACTAACTTGGACGAACAAGAACAAATCAAACAAGCAAAGCATGTACTTACTTATACCCCATTCATTTGTATGACTAGAACTCACATTCAAACTGAAATATATCAATATTGTATGCGTTGGCCCCCTCAATCACAGTCGTAGTCGTGGATTGCTGAGAAATTTTGAGAAAACAAACTCATCCATCACGTTCCCATCAGAATCACGTGTCGACAAGCACATCTTGTTTTGAGCCTTTTGTTTCCACTTCTGCTCACCCACATAAACGACTGCCAATGGATGACAACTGCATCAGTTTCCTTACATCCGCCCACTACTGCTGCTCTTGCTGCAAATGAGTACCACGGCAACACTCATGCCTCGTATGGGGACATTTGCCGTCCTCAGAATCGATCCTGTGGCTTCTGTCGCCCATCTCGATGACCCCGAAGCCACAGCTGCGGCATCCACGCTCTTCAACCAAGACTACGTCGTCTATTCGCTGCGCGTGTGTAGTCTCACCACGATTTAAACTTTCATTGACTGGGTGCCCAGCCTAGTGGCCTGCCTAATCCATACACCGAGTTTCGGGATGCAAGACCTGCGTTTGTTATGCAAGGGACCCCCCAAGATCTTCCCGACAAGTGTATAGAAGCCGGAATGTCTATTCCCATTGCCCCTCAAACGCTCACTGTCGACGAGCACCCGTCTCACCGCGAGCCGCTAATGCCGACTCCAAACCCTCTACCCTGGCCGGACTGCTATATAACGATCTTCGTCTCCGACAACGTGCGTTCTCCGAATGTCCGTAAGGAGGAGACCATTGTTTGCGAGCTCAATCAGGCCGAGCGAGCCCGGTACTACCATTTCGCGATCGCTGACGATGAACGGGAAGCAATGCTCTTGGATGAGAAAGACCGGAGAGAACGTGAGGCTCAGAATCGGCATGATGAACCCAATGTCGAGGGAGATTCCGAAGAGAATCTAAACGAGCCTGTTGATGAAGATCCCGACGAGTCAATTGAAGAGGAAGAACTGGATAATGACGAATCAATGGCCTTGTTTCGTGGTCTCGTGTCAGGCGGAACACCGGAATATCTCATTGTGGCCAAATTCACTTACGACCTCCACCGGGTTGTCCAACTCAACGATCCCCGCCAATACTTCGACGAAGTCGCACAGATCGAAGAGTGCGTATACTCGCTGCCTACGGAATTTGACTCAGATTTGTCCCACTTAGGATTGTCAAAGCATCGCAGGCACGACAGGATGTTGTCAAGGCTGCTGCCGCTCGCAACGATTCCGCCCAGTATGACGATAAAACGAGTAGGCCTAGTCTCGGCCTTCATGTTTTGTATCGCTGACATTTTTAGCGGAGCTTTTGCAGAGCCATCAGGCGTTGCATGGCCTCCACATCAGTGACATCACTCCAGCAGCTGACAGTGAAGAGAGCCGGCCTTTACCTATGGCGACAGCGACAGAGAAAGCACCTATCTCCATCAGGCGCCGAATATCGGAGGGTTTTTTTGCTTGTGCTGCACGCACAACAGGGGCCCTCCGAGTCATTCGTCGTGTTCTCTGTTTACCGGTGTCCTCTTCATCGAACAATCTATAAATGCGTGTTCGTCAATTCCAAAGTATTTGACCTTCCCATGTCCTACTGCTTTCGAGGTGAACGTTGTCGTGGGACCGGGCGGCAAGCCACAATAAAATTATTTTGTGCTTAACATTCATATTGCCCACGGAACGCTGTTATTGCAGCCTATCGCTGAGTTCTCAAACAGGAGCTGGCGACAGCAGCGTCGATGTCATGATCATCCAGGTGTGCAACGGAAACCACAGAATTCATTCGGAGAACCACAGAGGCGCCAGCCCGAGGAACGTACATATGTGGCTGGTTCACGAACATCTTTTGGTTCAGAACCGAAAGATTCCATCGTAAGAAGAAATGAAGAGATACGTGCACAAATTTACTTTTTTGCCTTGCTGTCTCAAAGCTTCATCTGAGTCGCTTCAAAGCCATCTTCATTACGGGCTGAATCAATTTATTATTTTACATTCAAGCTCACAATGATGTGATACCCCAGTCACAGGTAATTAGGATCCGAACAGTATTTTAACTAATAGGCTCTCAGCTCAGAAAAATAGTACCAGGGTACACAACTTACTGAACCTGGATCAAAGCTGGTCTTTGTTCCAGTGGAATAACGAGATTTGGTTTGTCCATAATTAAACGCGTCATTTGATTGTCGATGCCGGGGGTGTCTGTTTCACAAGTTCTGTTAGAACGGTATGAGGTTTTCGTAAGGCGGCTTTGGCTGCCCGCTAATGTCATTCCTTTTTCCCAAGTCTGAATAAACCAGTGATTAGTCGCAAGATATGAAGATCAACAGAGGGAGACCCACGGCAAGGTACTGTTTGACTTGGCGAACAAAATCAGGATTTGTTTTGGACATGCGAATCCAGTCTGCAGTTATTATACGGGAGCGCTTCTTTAGTTCGTCGATTGCTTTCTTTTCGAAGTGAGCCCCTTGTGTCATATAGGTCGAGGTCCACTGTGGAAGATGTTCGAGGTCATCAACGCGGGGCTGAAAGGGTACGGCGAGAATCCATTGGTCGTATTGATAGTCCCATTCTGGAACGGAATGAATATGTGCCTGTCCGCTGACCATGTTGGGGAAGACAGGAACTAGAAATTTTCGGAAGATTGCTGGTGGGGGCGAGCCGCCAAAACTACACATCAGACAGACCAGCTGTGATTTTGCTTCGTACACCACGCACGGGCGGCGTGGTTTACCGGAGGCCACCGACGAAGCTCCACTAAAGATGGAGGATTTAACATCACCATCAGCAACGAGACCAAGAAGTGGGACCCGTATAGATGTATATTCAGCCGTCCTGACGGCCCCGTTGCGCACAGTTTCTTCGCCTTTCCCATCCAAACGGTGAATTCGAACGGGGCGGGAGTTCGAGTCATTGCAATATTCGCAAGCAAAGCCGGGTTGAACCATGAGTACTGAGTTTGAAGTGGTCTGAATCCGAGCAGCACCTCCACGACTTTATAGAAGAAAAACAAGGCTGACAATAACCGTTGTACTCACTTGCATCACCGTGGCGACGTTGTCCATTAACAATAACTCTTGTGGGTCCAGGTATTCACAATAGAGCTCACAATAGTCGCCCGCTAGCGATAAAAGAACTTGGGGAGCGAGTGCAGGATGCATAATGTAAGAGTCAGTAAGACAATCAACAAGGCAATTGCGCACGCCTTGGAAAACTAGATGTTGAAGCAGGTCTAAATTGGATTTGAGTGTCCATGGGAAAGGAAGCTGGAAAATAAAAGGTGGTCACGGGAGCTTACGTAGTCGGCAGACCTTCAAGTTGACCTTATATCTTGTGTGGTGGACGTCTCCTCACCTTCAATGGCCAACAACGTTGAACCTGACTTCGTTCCACGCAGAGGCACATTTGCATTGCTCAAGATTGACCCTATAGCGTCTGTCGAGTATCTCGAAGATCCAGAAGCGACGGCTGCAAGCTCCAAACTTACCACCAAGCCCTACGTGATATATTCATCGGGTGTATGACCCCAGCAACTACTCATGTGTGCAATCTCTGATCTTTCATGTCACAGTGGCTCAAAGTTTTCGACCCTCATGGACCATTTCGGGAAGAACGATCTTATTTTGTTCTCCAGGGACAACCACAGGACTTGGCTGAAAACTGTGTCGAAGCCAGCATGTCCCTCCCTATCGCCCCGCAGTCCATTGGTGTCACTGAGCACCCATCTGGTCGCGAGCCGCTGAAACTGGTCGACAAGCCTTTCCCTTGGCCGGACTGTTATCTCACGGCATTCGCATATGTCATTGTGCGTTGTGCGAACGTTGAGAGTGTGGAACCTGTTGCTGCCGAACTGGACGACGACGAACAATTTCGCTTCATAGTACTCACGGGCGATGACGAGGAACGCCAGACAGACCTCATGGAGGAGAGGGAGGAAGCGAGGCGGAAAGATGCCGAATCTGTGATCCAGCCAGAATCATTGGAAGAGGGCGGTCCTGCTGGCCAACTTGAAGTTGATGCGGGAAATGTAGATGACGAAGAGGAACTTGAACTTACTGGTCCGGAAGAAACTGCCGCCATCATCCGCACTTTGCTGTCAAACGAAGTCCCGGAGAACCTTACAACCGTAACCTACACATTCGACTTATCAAGAGTCAGCGAGTTTAACAATCCCCGCGGATACTGGGAGGAGGTGGATCAAATCAACGAGTCAGTTATTTTCATGTTTGTCCTCCCGTGTTGTACTGCCAGTGCTGAGCACAGAACAGAATCGTCAAAGCATCACTGGCACGAAAGGAGGCTGTCAAAGTTGCGGCACTCCAGAATGACGCTGCGCGGTACGATAATAGAACAGGCACGGCCATATTTGATTGTACCGTTTATGGAGTATTTACCTTGTCCTCAGCGGAATTGTTACAAGGATACCAAGCTCTGCCACGCGATTCCGACATTCCAGAGCAGAGAAACGACGCACAACAGCCTCTGTCGTCACCCGAAGAAAAGTGGCATCCATCTCTCCGGCAGCGAATAGCACGAAGGATTTCCCGGGCTTTAGACACAACAAAATCACTCCTCCGGAACGCTTTTTGTTTATCTTCCGCATCGCATGAGACATAGACCTGCTCTACATAAACCTGCGAACTATCGTTTTTAACAGCACAAAACTGATACAGTGTCAACGAGAGAAAGCCTGAGCTTTCAAGTCCGATGCTGATTCAGACCTGATGTAGCCAGGTTATGAGCAGATCGGACGAGGTGATCATAATGCTGGGTCATGCATGACGATATTAATGTTCGCAAGACATGCATAAGATACGATGAATGAGAGATTTACAACTGTGAACACCTCGAGCAACTATCCGTGTCAAGCGGACTGGCCGACATTTTTCTGCTAACGCTGCTGTCGAAAGCCAAGAACGCGATTTTTTCGCATTTTGTGGTTGGGATGCTTGATGGCCTTGTAATAACTTGGCTAAGGAACGGAGGTTAGCCTCGACCTACCTGTTTTATTATCATAGCATGCAGCATCGGCTTCTGCTGCAGCAGCTCTGGCGGAATTTTTGCGTGCCATCGATGCTTTGATGATTCTACTCCGAGTCCTCAATCAAAAAGAGGCAAAAAAAGAGAAAGTGCTTACTCGGCTATTTGGTCCATCTCTTTCCAGTACTCGCGGGGATCGTTGATTTCTTTGACGCGGGAGAGGTCGTAGGTAAATTTGACCGCGGGGAGCTGCTCGGAAGGCTCATTCGATAGCAAGCAGCGGAAGATGGCAACCATTTCGTTGGCCTCGTCGATTGGTTCATCGGCGTCTACATCGCTTCCGTCATCCTTCTCGCTGGCGGTATCACATTTTGACGCTGCTCTTCTTTCCCTTTCTGCTCTCGTAGACGCTTGAGGCGGCGAAGCTCGAAGTCATCCTCCGTCAAATTGCTGACGCGCAATTGGTCTTCTTTGTGGAGAACACAGATGATAGGGTCCACAACGAGGATATTTGCGGTGCGCACATTGGCGGTCGCGAACGCACACAAGTAGCAGTCCGCAAAAGGAAATGGGTTGGTCGCCATCCTAACTAGTTCGCGTTTCGACGGATGCTCGTCGACACCGCAATTCTGAGGGACAATCGGAATCGACATGCTGGCGTCAATACATTGGGCAGGGAAATCTTGCGGTCTGCCTTGCTGGACGAATAAAACGTCTTCTTCGCGAAAAGGCGCCGCAGGATTGAACATACACTGGAGCTGCAAGATGTTGGTAAGGATGGAAGCAGATCGAGAACGCACTTACAGCAGGAATTGACACCACGTAGTCCTTGCTAACAAGTTTGGCACTTGCCGTTGTCGCCTCGGGGTCATCCAAATATTCCACCGATGCAACAGGGTCAATAGTGAGCACAGCAAAAGTTCCTCCTAAAGGAGCGAATGCGGCCTCTGGTGTCTTTTCAACGGAGGCCATGGAGTTGAGTTGGGATGTGTCGGTACTTGTAATGACTCCCGTTGCTGCTGGATTCATGACGGCGCAGATGACTCGCAGATGGTTGAAGGACACGAGATGCGATGAAAGCAAGGGACAAGGGCTGGTTATTCATCCTTGTTTCTGTGGGCGAGTGGACGTCTGACATGAACAAAAGCAGAAGAAAACAAGGTCGGCGGCACGTGATTAAATGCCCTACTTACGAGCAGGAATCTGAGAGTTGTCATGATCGCATTCCCTCACGAGCGACTACTTGTATTTATGGACGACTAATACTTATTCTGCGTGGATATGTGGAGTATACGACGGAATGCTGGTTTACAGATGCTCAGGCTACGGGCTATTATGCGTGTTATGAAGCCACGGCGGGAAGGTGCGGCTGGTGGACACGAGATTTTATCTCGCGGCACATCACGGTCTTGTAGGAGTTGAGCTGTCAAGGCAACACAGTGAGCTTCACGAGACATATTTACTGGGCAAACCGACCTGTTTTTGCGTCATAAGACGTTGCATCCTTCTCAGCGGCTGCGATCTTGGCTGCCTGCTTTCGTGCCTCCGAAGCTTCAACTATTCTGCGCTGCACATGAGCAAAATGAAACAGTTCGGAGTATTTCTCACGTACTTCTCAATTTTCTGTGCCTCCTCCAGGAGTTCGCGAGGATGGTAAATTGTGTGGACGCGCGAGAGGTCGTGCGTAAACTTGACGATGATCATCTGCCCTACAGACTCGTTTTCATCGTCATCTTCGGCCCCACTGCCCATTTTGCTCTCGCCATCTTTCTCGGCCTTGTGCTCAGCGGCGTCTGCTTCACGCTTGTCTCCGTCCGTCCACCGCCTCCGCCGCTGGCTCTTTTGCCTTTTGCTCCTGGAGACAAGTTTGGTGAAGCTCGCGATCATCGTTGGTGAAACGGGTGACACGTGATTGGTCTTCTTTGTCAAGCTTGCACATGACAGGGTCCACGACGCGGACGTTCGCCGTGCACAGGCGCCCGTTGTCAAATGCAGACACGTAACAATCTGGGAAGGGAAAGGGGCTGCCGACCATCTTGACCGGCTCGCGCTTGGACGCATGGTCGTCGACGCTGCACGTTTGCGGCGCAATGGGAATCGACATGCTGGCGTCAACAAAGTTGTCCATGTCGGTCGGCGGGCCTTGCATAACAAACATCACATCCACCTCGCGAAACGCAGCGAAACGATTGAACTTGCGTTTGCTCTACAGAGCAGGGAGAGGTTTGAAGGGGGTCAACAAAGGGCGGTAAAGAGCTTACCACAGGAGCGTAGATCATATAGTCCTTGCTGACGAGTTCAGCGCAGGCAGCTGTAGCCTCTGGGTCATGCAAGTACTCCACTGAAGCAACGGGGTCGATGGTGACCACGGCGAAAGCACCAGCGCGCGGAACCAGTCTGGCCGCGGGTATTGGCCTAACTTTGACCTCCGTATTCTGTTGTGGGCCATCGACGGAGCCTCCAGAAGCGAAATTGGGAGAAGCAGGTGCATGTTGACTTGAAGCAGCATCGTGATAGCCTTATGTGCATTATTGGTGAAAACATGCAATTAGTAGATGGGCAGACATACTCGTCTGGGTGCCGTCTTCGAAGGTTGTGGTCGCTGGGGCTGCTGAGTTCATTCTGACACGGGTGGTGGGGTCGAAGATGTGGGGAGGGTAGGGAACAAAAGCTGGTTATCGTTGTTCATAATTTATGCTGTGGGCAAGTGGACGCAGCCACGACAAAAACAAGGGTGTGAGATTCGTTGTTGTTGTGGTTGTTGTGGTTGTTGTGGTTGTGGTTGTGGTTGTCAGGAAGGAAACAACAAAGAACGAAGTGGACGCGTGTGATGCAGAGTCTGAGCAAGTCAGAAGATCAGAAGATGTCACAGCCCACACTTTTCGATCGCTGAACGCAGACGAACTATGGTGGTATGTACAACAGAGATCCACGGTTGACTATGAAGCTCCAACCGCATTTCTATAAATGTCAGCGGTTCGAGTGCAAGTAGACTTTGCCGGCCAAACCGGCCCGGGGCTGCACGCTACCAGCCTGCCCACCAGTCTGACATACCTTCTTCGAAGACCAATCCTCGTCATTGCGACATAGTCACCTAGGCACAAGGTGCCGCCAGCTCCGCGGCGACTGACCAACCTTGCTTTGACATATTGAAAAGAGTAAATGATTTGCAATTTTTAAGTTTGTTCTATCACGCATGAAATATGTCCGTTAGCACTCCGTTTCTCCACCATTGCCTGTTCATTGGTGTGCTTGAGCAACACGGAATCAACCAACTGACACACCCTCTACCCACGTTGACCACGGCCAGATCCAATGTTACTCGGCGGCCGCTACACTGGTTTATGAGAGCAAAGGGTTTCGCTGAACCCCAATCACTTATCCTACCGTCTCCTCTGCACTGTTCCAAATCCACACATACAAAAATCGCAGGAAATTCATCGAATTTGTACACAAGGATAGGTTGACCTGCAGGGTATCGTTGCCAGAAGTCCAGCATCATTTCACGCAGCAGTGAGCAAACATTGCCCTGAAATAATTTTCGAACGAAGTCTCATTCAAGTTGGTCGATGTCTGCGCTGCGGAACACTGCCAAGCTAGTCAACACAACGGCCGCCTTCAACCTGATACAAAACCTACTCATGACTGATGCCCTGAACAGAACACAGTTGTGCACATGCACTGAACACCCCTGTTGTAGTGGGCTATTCACAACACACCCATCCAAGAAACTGAGGAAAGAAGATGAGCGGTTGGATAAGCTGACGGTGGACACCAAGAGGCGAGAAAGGGAGAAAAGGCAAGAAGGAACATACAATATATTACAGCATCTAACAACTGCCGACAGTGCTGGATAGCAGATAGCGCTATGTGGGATACAAATGAACATGGAAACGACAACGAGATGGAATTCAACGCACCTTCGACCGCTCCTTGCATCTACTAAACACCCCCACTTGACCGCACAAGCACGAAGTCGACGTTGAAATTTGAGCGTTGAAATGGCATAAGGCAGGAAATGAAAAGGGCTGCACATGTGATTAGAGAGAGTACGGGAAGCCTGGAAGAAACGGAATGCCTCACCAGCACAGGTTAGAGCCGAGTGCTTCGAGGGGAAGACGGTCTGACGAGCGGTAGCAATGATGTCGTCGGCAGCGAGGATGTTAATGTCCCAGTCGGTATTATTGTCACAGTCGCGCGGCAAATCATGCTACGAGTGCGATGTGCTGGGTGTGGACGGTGTATTGAAGATAAAGAGGAGACCGTGGTGATCAAAAAGAGAATGTCTGCGAGCAATGATGAGTAGGGCTACCGAAAAGTGCATAAGGACAGTGGGGGAGGAGGGAGGACGACGGGGGTAGTGGCAATGAAGGAACAAGTGGCAGGAGGACATGTGTGTGGGAAGGGAGCACAGGGAATTATTAGTAGGAAGAGCATATGAAGGGAAAGCAGAGAACGGCGGACGCGTAGGGAGCCGGATCACCCAGTGTTGTGATATGTTTGTTTCTGGCAGACGAATTCGACCCAGGAAACGAAGGTAAATGACGTAAGGTGTTTACATTTGTTTGTAAATGGCAAGCCAAGCGAAGAATATTGGAGGGATCACAGAGTGATGAGTATTTGATGGAACTTACCATAAAAGGGTCATTTCGACCGTGGGGGACCTTGCATTTTCAAAGCAAGGTGACGAGGACCGCTACTCGCCGTGGTGCGTTGCTCCGGCGCCTATCTTTCATTCCAAAGCTTATAAGGGCTCGCGACTACGGCGCCTAGCTATAAGCATCCCATGTCCACGAATTTTGGAACCATCATCAAAGGTGCGTGTGCTTTTGTGCGATACCATCCTCCACTAATCGTGATTGGGGCCTTGTGTAGGGGGGGCGACGGCGGCGCGTTTTATGGCACGGTGCACTTTCCACCTCCCTCGACACAGGGCCTAAAGCAGGCGACACAATCGGGAAATCAAGTCGGCGCAGCTGATCCAGGGAGACAAGGCAGTGTCAACGTTGTCGCTGCTGGGCAGCCTGGCGCCGTGACCGTGACCCCTCGCGTCGTCAATCTCGCGCCAGCAGACATGCATCGAGTGCCCTTCGTCCCCATTTACGCGTTATGCAAGGGGTACAATATTACCAACACCCTTCTCAAGATACTCGAGGATGGGGGGTGTAGCACAGTCGCCCGGCCTGGTGGAGCTCACAGACGAGGATTTGCGTGGGATGGAGTGCAAACCAGGGCACATTGGTGAGATTCGTCAGGCGTTGCGTCGGTATCTGGCCGACCAGGGAATCTACGAGGTAGCTTGAGTAGTTGAAGAAATGGACGTTTTCTGAGACTTAACTTTGTGGAACGTTGCTAAGATAATATTGCATTCTCTGTCTCAGCCTCCGAAGTTCTTTTCATGGCTGATCATCGTCCATGGTCAGTGAAGACCCTTTCATGCATGAGTGCAACTGGTGTCCCCCACCTCCAGATTTTTAAATATATCCAGCAGCAGACATACTTATGGGTACAAGCGGTAAAAAGCATATCGAAAGCAGCGATGGGTATATCTGATCTGACTCCCAAAGTTATGTAGCGCGCAAGTCGAAAGGCATGCAGAGTAGACAACGCAACAGCGAGTTGGCGCGGGTAATACCGCGAGTGATGAATCGTGGTATGCGAAGACCAGTCGCTTTCGAGGCTTGGTGGCCTTGCAACAGCTCGGCTGGAACGAATGAGCTCTACGAGGAGAAAGTCAAAGTGACCTACATACCCATTCGACTATCGTATCGCGCTGCATCCTTCTCAGCTACAGCAGTCTTGTTTGCTTCTCTCCTTGCTATGGACGCTTCAACAATCCTAAGATTCACATTGGAGAAATATGTGGTCATTGAAGTCAGTGCTTACTCGGCAATCCTTTCCACCTCCTGCCAAAAATCGCGAAGAGGGTGGATCTCGTTAACACGAGAGAGCACCTGTTACTTCCACCTATCTACTCTAATTAGAAGTGAGTGCCCGGCGTGGTCTCCATTCTAGTTAGAATAGATGATATGCAAATACCTATGCTGCAATACATCCCAGAATAAAACTGCTATAAAGTCTAGAATTTCAGCACTTAAGAC